CTCACTGCTCATGGAAGGACTTCTAATTGGAAAAAGAACGAATGTGGAGAGTCTCGATTAAAGTCGAGAGGTAGATCTGACAATTGGAGAAAACTTGATAAAAATGAGTGTGCATATTGTCGACAGAAAGACCATTGGAAAAAGGATTGTTCGATCTTAAAAGAGAAGGGGTCGAAGTCCAATGTGGTTAGAGATGACGACACTGATACAAATGATGCCTTGACAATCTCACTATCAGTCAGCCAAACCAGTGAATGGATTCTTGATTCTGGGTGCTCCTATCATATGTGTCCCAACAAAGAGATGTTTTTGGACTTCAAAAAGTTCAATGGTAGAGTTGTCTATATGGGCAATGATAGTACTTGCAAGATAATGGGAATCGACTCAGTACAAATCAAGATGTTTGATGGGGTTATACGAAAACTCAAAGAGGTGAGGTATGTCCCTGACTTGAAGAAAAATTTGATCTCACTTGGCGTTTTGGATGCGAGTGGTTATCGCATCATTTTGGAAGGAGGGAATTTGAAAGTAGCTCGTGGAGCTTTGGTGGCAATTACAGGAACTAGAAGAGGTAGCATATACTACCTCAACGGAACCACAATAATTGGGCATGCTGCTGTGGCAAGTTCGAAAGAACAAGACATATCGAAATTATGACACATGCGACTCGGGCATGCTGGTGAGAAGGCGCTTCAGACACTGGTGAACCAAGGAGTCCTTAAGGGCCAAAAAACTGGAAGAATTGATTTCTGTCAACATTGTATATTTGGTAAACAAAAAAATGTGAAGTTTGGTATAGCTATACACCAAACAAGGGGCATTTTGGATTATGTTCACACTGATGTATGGGGTCCCACAAAGAATGTCTCATTGGGAGGAAAGAGGTGGTTCGTCACCTTTATTGATGACTACTCGAAGAGAGTTTGGATGTATCCCATGAGGCACAAAAACGAGGTTCTCCAAATCTTCCTAGAGTGGAAGAAAATGGTAGAGAATCAGACGGACAGGAAAATCAAAAGGCTGAGATCAGACAACGGGGGAGAATATACTTATGATCCATTCCTTAAAGTATGCCGAGATGAAGGGATCGTTCGACACTTCACTGTTCCTGGTAAGCCACAACAAAATGGAGTTGCTGAGAGAATGAACCAGACATTAACAGAGAAGGTTCGATGAATATTGTCTCAAGCAGGATTGAGTAAGGCATTTTGGGCTGAGGCTCTCAGTTATGCAGTTCACTTGGTGAATCGTTTACCTGTTTCTGGAAACGGTGGGAGAACTCCGCTTGAGGTATGGTCAGGTAGTCCTGTTAGTGATTATGATAAATTGCATGTGTTTGGGTGTCCTGCTTATTATCATGTGACAGACTCAAAGCTGGATCCTAGAGCAAAAAAAGCCAAGTTTATGGGCTTTAACAAAGGTGTGAAGGGCTATAGGTTATGGTGTCCAGAAACAAGTAAGATTGTTAATAGTCGAGATGTGACATTCGATGAGTCTGGAATGTTTTTGCAGAAAATTGAAAATAATGACGAGGCATTGAAGCAGGTGGAGAAGGTGGTGTTCTCTCCTGATTTGGTTGCTCCTACTGAAGAACCTATTGATCAGGTAAATAATAACTTTGATGTCTTAGAATAGAAAGAGCAAAGTCTTGAGGAGCAAAGCCTTGTAAATGAAAAAGTGGAGGAACCTGAGTCAATCGCCAAGAATAGAGCACGAAGGGTAATTCGAAAACCTGCAAGGTTTAATGATACGATAGCATATGCTTTCTCTTTGATTGATGGAGTTCCTAACAGTTACAAAGATGCTATTCAGAGCCCGGATAGCTTACACTGGCAAGAGGCTGTGAATCAGGAGATAGCATCATTGGAGATAAATCAAACTTGGGATTTGGTACAGCTTCCAAAAGGTAAGAAGGAAATTGGTTGTAAATGGGTTTTTGCAAAAAAGGAAGACCCTTTTGGTATACGTTATAAGGCTCGACTTGTGGCTAAAGGCTACGCACAAAAAGAAGGTATTGATTACAATGAAATTTTCTCACCTGTGGTAAAACATTCTTCGATTCGAATATTGTTGGCTTTGGTTGCTCAATTTAATCTTGAGCTTGCACAACTCGATGTAAAAACTGCCTTTTTGCATGGAGATTTGGAAGAAGAAATATATATGGCGCAACCAGTTGGTTTCCGAGTAGTTGGACAACAACATTTAGTATGCAGATTGAAGAAATCTTTGTATGGGCTGAAGCAATCCCCTCGCCAATGGTATAAAAGGTTTGATCATTTCATGGTAGAGCATATGTATACTCATAGTCAATTTGACCATTGTGTGTATTATCGATGTCTCGATGATGGATCGTTTATTTACTTGCTCTTATATGTTGATGATATGTTAATTGCTTCAAAGAGACAGGTGGAGATTGATAATCTCAAAGATGAGCTTTCTAGGCAATGCAAAGAAAATACTTGGAATGGAGATAGAGTGAGATCGAAGAAAAGGTACAGTCAGTCTGGTTGACTCAGTCTCAATATCTACGCAAGGTATTGTCAAGATTTAGTTTGAATGATTCAACCAAACCCGTTAGTACTCCACTTGCTCCCCATTTCAAGCTTAGTGCTTCCATGTGTCCAAGTTCTAACGATGACAAAAGGTATATGGAGAACATTCCTTATACAAATGCTGTTGGTGCGTTGATGTATGCTATGGTGTGTACTCGACCTGATCTTTCACACGCAGTAAGCATGGTGAGTCGTTATATGCATAATCCTGGTAAAGAGCATTGGCAGGCTGTAAAATGGATTCTTAGGTACATTCTTGGCACTATTGATGTTGGTATTAAGTTTCAAAAACAAGAAATGTTTAATCTTGACAATCGTGTAGCTGGTTTTGTGGATTCTGATTATGCTGGTGATTTGGATAAGCGACGATCTACTACGGGATATTTATTTACTTTGGCTGGTGGACCTGTTTGTTGGCGTTCAACATTGCAGTCTACTGTTGCATTGTCTACCACTGAAGCAAAGTATATGGCAGTAACGGAAGCTTTTAAAGAAGCTATTTGGATGCATGGTTTGATCATTGACTTGGGTATTTTGCACGGACATATAGATGTATTTTGTGATAGTCAGAGCACTATTTGCTTGTCAAAAAATCAAGTCCATCATGCTCGTACAAAACACATTGATGTCCGTTTTCACTTTATTCGAGAAATTATTAGCAAAGGGGATATTCGTTTACTAAAAATTGGAACTGCTGATAACCCTGCTGATATGTTGACAAAGGTGATCGCTCGTGAAAAGTTCTGCCATTGTTTGGATCTCATCAACGTCGGAAGGAAGGAGTAGTGTGTTGACGTGGTACCAACCAAATTCGCTATCAACTTGGAGATCTTATGACAAGGTGGAGATTGTTAAACATTGTCATAAGCCCTATTCTCTAGGACCAAGACCTATTCTCAAGGTCTTGCTAATATTTTTAGGGTCTTGCTAATATTTTTAGGTTTGTTAGTTTATCTTTAGGTTTAGCAGAATATATAATGTCATTCTTTCTGCTATTGAAAAATCAAGTTTTTGAGTGCAATATTGTATGTCTTGAGTGATTTTGGTGTTGTTAGTACATTTGTTCCGCTTTCGGCTCACAACATTGTGCCATGTGTTGGATGATGAAAGTCCCACATCTGCTAATTTAGAGAATGATCATGGGTTTATAAGTGAGGAATACTAACTCCATTGGTATGAGGCCTTTTGGGAAGCCCAAAGCAAAGCCATGAGAGCTTATGCTCAAAGTGGACAATATCATACCATTGTGGAGAGTCGTGTTCGTCTAACATGATACCAGAGCCATGCCCTAAACTTAGCCGTGCCAATAGATTGGCAAATCCTCGAATGTTGAACAAAGGTCTCCAAAAAGAAAAAAGGAGTCAAGCCTCCTTGAAGGTACGAAGGCAGTAAAAAATGACTAAGACTCCAAAGGAGTCAAGCCTCGATTAAGGGGAGGCGTGCTTTGTTCGAGGGGAGGTGTTGGATGATGAAAGTCCACATCGGTTAATTTAGGGAATGGTCATGGGTTTATAATCTAAGAATACACTCTCCATTGGTATGAGGCCTTTTGGGAAGCCCAAAGCAAAGCCATGAGAGCTTATGCTCAAAGTGGACAATATCATACCATTGTGGAGAGTCGTGTTCGTCTAACATGATACCAGAGCCATGCCCTAAACTTAGCCGTGCCAATAGATTGGCAAATCCTCGAATGTTGAACAAAGGTCTCCAAAAAGAAAAAAGGAGTCAAGCCTCCTTGAAGGTACGAAGGCAGTAAAAAATGACTAAGACTCCATAGGAGTCAAGCCTCGATTAAGGGGAGGGGAGACGTGCTTTGTTCAAGGGGAAGTCCCACATCGACTAATTTAGGGAATGATCATGGGTTTATAAGTGAGGTTTATAAGTGAGGAATACTAACTCCTTTGTTCAAGGGGAAGTCCCACATCGACTAATTTAGGGAATGATCATGGGTTTATAAGTGAGGTTTATAAGTGAGGAATACTAACTCCATTGATTTGAGGCCTTTTGGGAAGCCCAAAGCAAATCCATGAGAGCTTATAACAATATCATTTTCATCTTTCCATTAGAATTGGTACTTTAGTGGTTAATTTTTTAGACTAAAGTACTACCAATATTTATGGTTGACTAGATGATTGAATAATCTACCTCATTTATGTTTCTATTGTAATAAGTCAAGTTTTTAATGATAGAATAGAGTCCATAAATTAAAATAAAAAATTAAACATGAGAAAAAAAAATAGAAAAATCATTCCATTTATGAAAAAATATATAGAAATAATGAATTTGTCTAAGAAAACAGTGATTCAGTTTGGCTAAAAAAACCCTCCATGCCCAGTAATGCTAATCTCATTCTTTTAAGAAAACAGTGATTCAGTTTGGCTAAAAAAACCCTCCATGCCCAGTAATGCTAATCTCATTCTTTTGTGCTACTTCCAATTGGTGCCATAGTTGGGGTTTGAGCATGCCCAGTAATGCTAATCTCATTCTTTTGTGCTACTTCCAATTGGTGCCATAGTTGGGGTTTGAGCAATGCTTCCAACTCCTGAACCCTCTGAGATTAGAGTAATGCTTCCAACCGATGCACCCCTAGAGGTTAGAGCAATGCTTCCAACTGATGCACGCTCCGGGGTTAGAGCAATGCTTCCAACTGATGCACCCTCCGGGGTTAGAGCAATGCTTCCAACTGGTGCAACTGTTGGGGTTTGTGTTTCATGTGATCCAAGAGCACGAAATGAAAATTGATGACCGAGATTCACAACACCGGTGACATCGCCAAAAGTGGCATCCACTTTCGCACAACAATGCCAAGCAATTACTAAAAAAAAGGGTGTGAAAGAGCTTGAAACCTTTATCCATGGCCATTGTGGAGTGTCTTCAAGTGGTAAGATTGGTAAGACTACAACTTTTCATGTTTGAATTTTACTCCATTGAGATGATCAAAGAAATCAAAGAAATCAAATGTAAACTATATATATATATATATTTGTGCTATAGCAACAACTTAGAGATCAAATGGGGAAGAAATTGGTAATCAAAAAGTTCAAAAATTTCTCAATAGTTATCAAGAAAGTTTGAGCGTATGGTTGTTGCAAGTGATGAATACGAACACTTATCTACACTCATAGCATGATGAATTAGCTTAGATTAAATCAACGTGATGTTACTCCTTGCTCTAATACCATGTTAAGAATGAAAAACAGAAGTGAGATAAAAAATCCAAAAGTCGAATTGAAAGTCTAATTTCCATTAATGTTCACAGAGATACAAACTACAAATTAAATCATAAAAATAATTTGAAAAATAAGATAGAATATATCAAATATATTATTAACCGAATCCGAAAAATAAGAAAGCTCTATAAAATATATTCCAATACTCTCTCTCTACTTGTCTTTACGTATAAACGTGTAACCTCTTATAAATGTCCATAGTACATCGAGCATCTTGAATGTTCGTGTACTTAGATCTCCACCACAATATTTGTGGCTCCAAAGTATTGTTCGAGGATGAAGATAAAGTTCTCTAGATCCTAGGAATCTCTAATCCCACAAAAGGGCTTGGGCTTGGGCTATGAGACCTTTATCTTATTAAATTGTACTACACCCCTATTTGGGGTTTGGTTCCCCACCGCTCTTATGGTGAGGCCTAATCTAGCGTGTAGATCCGCCACTTTAGCTCTGACCATTCCAAGGGTTGCTCTCAAATCCTCCGACATTTCTGAGACCATCTGAATGGTTGCTTTTTGGGCATTGTCTAATCCCTCGACGTGTTCTTCCATTCGGACAAATAACCCATCTAGCTATCTCTACGCTCGAAGCCACCAGAAGTTATGACCTTGTCGTCTATGGCCTCAACCCTAAACATTAATTCGCAGACAGACATTGCCTCAAGGTGGCTTGCCATCTTGTCGATCCTGTCGGCTTTAGCAATAATCTCGTTCATGCGAGATTTCAAAAGCTTCATTCTATCAGGCGCTTCATTCATTCAGAGTAACTATTTTTTGATTTCAGTCAGTCGGTAAGTATAAGACTTGCCCAGTTGTTTTAAATCGAAGATGCTAGTGTACTACTTTCCAAGTATCTGACTCGGCTCTGATACCACTTATCACAATCTCACTCTTGCGGTAGCAAGATAGTAATTGTACGACACTTGTTCTAACCCTACAAACAAGTCAGCCATGTGAAATTCGAACTTTTCGAACAATATCAGTATATGCTCGAGCCTTGGATCACGTTTGAGAGAAATATTTTGGAATACGTGAGCAAAGAAATACATTGAAAGCAATTGTAAAGAAAGAAATCTTATAAGCTAAAAGCAACTAGGCAACTACGACGACTTTGATAGTATATAATCTGGGTATGAAGAATTGAGTACTAGTCACATCCTTCTATAGTACATTTTGGGGAACTTTAGCCCTGGTAGGTGTAGACATGATTTTGGTGACCGGTCATACACCCCCGTATTGACACAACAAAAAATAGTAAAGGTCTATCTAAGATGAAAGCATGTAAAAGAGGTTTGGAACGAACATGCGATCATAGACAACACGTTCTGGACAAGCATGACCGGGACATCTGACATGCAGTCATAGAAACACGTCTTGGACAAGCATGGTCTTTTTTACTTGTGTTCTCTTATAAGATTAAATAATTTTTACATTCTCAATTTGCATAAATACAAGTTTTTTTTTTAATGTTTTTATTAGCGTAAGTAAAATTATAATTATATTCCTTGTACTTTTAAGAATTGTATTAATTTTGTTACTATATTAATTAATGAGTCGATTATATTCGCGTTTCCCATCTTCCTTCTACTCTTATCGTAGCTCTATTCTTTTTAACTTATTTTCCCGACACGCTTATTTCTTTTTATGGATTTTGATTTTTCTTGTTCTTTTTGTTGTTTTTTTATTCCGAGTTAACGTATTTCGTGTTAAAAGATTATCGCTACTTCAATAGAGTCAAGTACAATCATTACGAAAGTTCAAATATCAAAAAGTCCAATCATTCTCGAAAATCTCGATGGGATTAGGTTTGCAGCGAGTTGAGCTTTAAGTGTAATTTGCAGGTTTTCATCCTCGTTAGTGCACTTCGAAGGCTCGATGCAATCGTTTTCTTGAAATATTCTTTCAGTGTGTCATCACCCCTTTAAATTGTAGCTACTACTCGAAATGACATTATGTCATAGAAAGTTCGATTTTTAGTGGAAACCAACGTAATTATTTAACCTACGAGTCCTCGAAATCTTGAAAGTAAAGAACTTTAGATGGTTTAAAATGTGTTTTAGTTTTCTTTCATACGAACCTAACAAATCAATATTTTAAACTAATATGAAATGTCTTTGAATTATTGTCCTAAGTTTTTGATTGGAACGAACATTTGGTATTGATTTTAAACTGTTAAGGATATTTAGTAATAAATTATAGTTTACCATATATATTACATTTGATATTTTATTATAAAGCAAATATCTAATATTTGCCTTATTATCATAAGTATCTTTCCATTTATTGTTATTTCTATTTATTACTATTTCCATATCCTTGTAATTTATTTGATTATAAATAAGACAACTTTCACACCATCTAGGTGTGGTGGATTAATCAAACATTCACATGGTATCAGAGCCCTTTCAGTTTAACAACCCTGATCCTTTCTTTTCAATGACTTTTGAATCCTCTAATCTTCTTCTCCACCACCCCTGCTGGTTTTGACGCCGCAGGGGTAGTCTTCATGGCTGCTGTAGTCGGAGCCGATTGATTACTCTTCGGCTCCACCCTATTGACCTCCAAATCACCTTTCGTCATACTCTGTACATACAACCTCACCTTTTCCAACCAAATCGGTTTTTCCTTTGGCCAATATAGTCTCTCTCATTTTCTTCCCAATCAACCTTCATCCTTCACATAAACCCTAACCTAAACCTATCAACCTTTTGCAGACATTTACCTTCGGAATCTGGGTGCCGCACTGGCCTATTCGCCAACCAAGTTGTTGCCGCCCTTCCTGCCAAAATTGGCTTCTTCGCCCGATGAGGCGACTCTTCCGACTGCCCTTCTCGCCAAAATTGGCTCCTTCGCCCAATGTGGCGACTCTTCCGGCTTCAACATTGTCTTTGTCCCTTGCTCTAGGTTTCCCCTTCTACTTCTTAGGGTTAGAAATATTCTCACCAGAGCCAAGGCAGCATCGTCGCTAAGCGACAATCCCTCTTCATAGGTTAGACATATTCTCGCCGAAGCCAAGGCAACATCGCCGCTGAGCGGCGATCCCTCTGCAATTTTTGATGGCCAAGAACCGGGTTTTTAGCATCTTCATGAAAAGTGTTTCTCAACCTCTTTGAATTTTTCAGATTCAAGCTTCACGTTCGTTTAAATCCGACGCTTAGCTTGCGGTGGGGTGTTAAGAATATTTAGTAATAAATTATAGTTTACCATATATATTATATTTGATATTTTATTATAAGGCAGATATCTAATATTTGCCTTATTATCATAGGTATCTTTCCATTTGCCTTATTAATTATCATAGGTATCTTTCCATTTATTGTTATTTCTATTTATTACTATTTCCATATCCTTGCAAATATTTGAATGTTTGATTAATCCACCACACCTAAATCGTGTGAAAGTTGTCTTATTTATAATCAAATAAATTACAAGGATATGAAATAGTAATAAATGGAAATAACAATAAATAGAAAGATACCTATGATAATAAGACAAATATCAAATATAATATATATGGTAAACTATAATTTATTACTAAATATCCTTAACATAAACTAATATGAAATGTCTTTGAATTATTGTCCTAAGTTTTTGGTTGGAACGAACATTTGGTTAAGTCTAAATGCTTAAGATAATGGAGGATATTACTCACTTGCTAGGATAAAAATGTCATCAGATCCTATAAGTAGGTTGCTGTATGTCATCCGACCCTATATATATATAGTGAGGAAAGACCACCAAATTTAGAAAGACTTATATTTTTGTGGGTTTCAGAGTATTTCAAGTATAGAATGTTTGAGACTTCATTTCTAATTTCTCAAACTATAAATTTGGTCTATGAAATTGAATCTAATTTGATTTTATTTTTTATCATTTCATTAATTTTGCCATTAATTCACCATCAAGAAGAGAAATCAAAGAAATCAAAGAAATCAAATGTAAAAAATTAAAATTAAATAATCATATTCGTGCTATAGCAACCACTTAAGATCAAATGGGGAAGAAATTGGTATCAAAAAGTTTTAAAATTTTCTCATTAGTATATCAAGAAAGTTTGAGCGTATGTTGTTGCACGTGATGGATACAAACGCCAATCTACACTTATAGCATGATGAATTGTTTCAATCCCATAAGCTTAGATTAAATCAATATGATGTTGCTCTCATAAAGTATTCTACCTGGTTTAACAACAGCTACCCAATATTCGGGGGATCCTTTCCCTGAACCCATACGTGTTTTTGTGGGTTTTAGTGTAATGGGTTTGTCTGGAAATACACGTACCCATATTTTTCCGCCGCGTCGTGCATTTCGTGTCATTGCCCTTCGTCTCGCTTCGATTTGTCTAGATGTGATCCAAGCGGGTTCAAGTGCTTGACTAGCGTATCATGGATGTGTTAAGAATAAGAAACAGAATTGGATTGAAAGTAGAAACATAAGTGGATTGAATAGCCTAAAAATATTA